ATAATATACTTTTCGACTATTGTAAGTACTTTTAATATACCAAATTCACACACGACACCTTGAACAATTTGCTTTATATTATCATAATTATTTACCATTTCTTCTTTCTTTCGTTCGTCCATTCCAATAAAAGCTTCGGCATTGTCTAAATCTTCCTGTGTCATTAGTGGAAAAACAGGTCTTTGGATGTTCTTCTCTTCTTCCGCCTCTTCTTCTTGTTTCACCAAGCGTTTCATCATTTCCTGATGTCCTTTCATTAACTCATCTATTACCTCATTCTGCCGCTCCATAAAACCTTTCGAAATCCAATACATTATGAAAAACTAATGTAAACATGCRTTATAACATAAATATAAAATGTTAAAAACCCATTGAATCTTTTTTAAAAGAAATTTGTGAGAAAGAAGAAATCTGTGATAATTTCGTTCAATTTTTCACTTTATAAAAAATTTAACTTTCAAAATTGTAGGTAAGTTCATAATTTATCAGATAATTTTAAGAATTGTGGCTTATATAAATTGAAAACCTTTTTTTTCAAAACAAAATTATTTCTAACACACTTCAATGGATCTTTAGCTGTTGTCTAATAATAKAAATAATTTTATTTACCTTTTATTTGTTGTATGTCGGCACGCATTTCCTGCATCTCTTTTGATAAATCTTGCATTTGAGATGTTAAATCCATGTTTTCTGAAATCGGAGTTTTTATTGTGGAATCACTTAAAAAGATTAAACGGTATCTAGCAAGAAAAAGTTTAGCTAATATTTTTTTTTTTTTATCAAAATAAGCCCCGCTTAACTAATAAATCTTGTTACTGTTAAACTAAGAGGCGGTCAATATAAATCAAAACATGTTTTCCTTGTACCCACGACATCGTAAAAGTTTGTCCGTCAATGTAACGCGCATATATGAACCGGATAAGGACTTGTCAATATCGAAACATTCCTCAAAATTCTTTGGAGGATACTTCTACGGCTACCACATCACAACTGTTTTATTTGCTGCTTTCAATGGTATAGATTTCGGTACAGCAATTCAATAAAGAAATTTTGAGCTCTATAATTTCATRTCATGAATAATTTTTCCAAAATTATGAATTGCTGTTAATCACCAATTACGATAATCTCTGCATTTGTTTGGATTAATTTTGTTTGCACAACTCCCTCCGCAAAGCAAATTGTATCAAGTGTGGTAGTTATGTTGTAGGGACAATTGTTTTCTTGAGACACAGATGTGCATAATTCGGCTACACCGCCCCACATATATTTCTTTCCACTTAATTAAAACCATAACTATTACGAGCGCACAATTGTTGTCCAAATTGAACAAAAACCTCAATATTACCCGTAGTTTCGTACATATAAGCAAATTCAGGGCCGCGTATTTCGCGTGCCTCGACAAGTTTTATCTTTGATATTCAGTAACCAAAACAATATATGATTATATATGGCGAATTATTTCAATACAGTATTTCTCGTTTCAAACATGTATTTACAAATTCTCGCATTTCAATATGCAAATCTAAAAATTATAAAATCACATAAATTTTAGCTAACACTCGCCCGGCGAACTAATATTTGACAGCAACAAATTGAGGTGAAAAAGTGTCAATCAGTTAATGTTTCGGTGTTGCCACAAAACATATACGCAAAGCTAATAACATTTATGCCGTCTACAGACTATGCAATCTCGAATGCATGATATATAAGAAGTTAATTAGAAAGAATTCATTATCTTACTATTTTGTAAATACACAATAAAACTTCTTTGTTTCTTATCCAGTTGAAATATTAGAAATAAAAAAAAAAAGATTTTATTCAAGCAGCACTTTTTATTCATTATCAAATGGTATTAAAACTTCTTCGATTTTAATTGATGGCTGTTCAGAATATTTTCTACGTTGAGCCCAATTAAATTTGAAATGTTTATTTTTGGCGCACTTAAAACCATTCCTAAGGTCGTCCAGAAAGTACTTGTAATTCCATCCCTCTCTTGTTGTGGCTTCTGCAGGTTAGAAATGAAATAAAATAATTGTAGAATTAACGGAAAAAATATGTTTTTATTTTGTTACTTACGAAAGAGCACATCCAAGATTTTCGGATAATCTTGTATGCGTTTTTTGTTGTGTCTACCATCAACGTTGTAGTCCAGAATGACATCACAACCCAATATCTTATTCAAATTCTTTTTAAAACTTCCGGGCATTAATAGTGCTCTGGCAAGTGCAATCTATATTTTTGTGTGTATATAGAATTACTAAAGGTTCATTTATTTATTTCCTGCATTTAAAACTCACACATTCTCCTTTATTTTCGTCATTTATGCTTTCTTCAGCCTTTTCCAAATCGTCTTGTGAATTTATCGGAAATATGTTCAGAAATTGTTTCGCTTTCTGCGTACAAAAGTTTCTATCCTGCTTTTTCTCCTCATATTTTCTCAGAAGATGACATTGTTCTTTGATGAGCCTAATTATGGTTTGATTTTGCTTTGTCAACGATTCTACACGAAAAATACAGAATATGAGAATCGTAATAATAATGAAACAAATATTTTACCTTTGAGTTGTGTAACTTCATTCCGCAGTTCTGCTGTTTCATTGGTAAGTTGTTCCACTTTTTCATTTAAATCCATATTTTCTGAAATTTAACGTTACACTCGTTGTATATAAACCAAAAAATTTATATTGCAATATAATTGGTAAGGTATTCCTAAAGTTTTCTCTTGTATCACAATGCAACCATGTAATGTACTCACACACACTTAATTCAACATATCAATAAAAGGTGGTATGGTTTTCATGATGTGTTCTGCATATACATTTTGTTTGCAAACAGAAGGTTTATAAATAACTTCTTAGTCTTTGGAATGCTCAAAACATTCAATAAAATGCAACAGTACACAATTAGTTGCAACAATTAGACACTATATACATCAGTATATTGGAAAACTTGTTTATATATCACAAATTATAAATGCTGTAACCAAGGCGTCTATTTGCCTTCGACGCTGGCATAAGGTTTATTGCTGATTCTGCTCACCGCACCTGTTCTCGTTTATCACAAATTATTTACGAACTTAGTAGYACTGTTTATATTTCGTAATGTTTATATATAAATTAAAATTAATATCACTTTAGAACTGTTTATTGATCTGTGTAGTGTAAACAATGGTCTGAAATGTAAATTCTCTTGAGATTACTCTTTTGTTTGCTCGTGGTGTAATGTGGCAAGGTAAATTATTATATGGTGAATATTTTTCCACCTCGATATTAACTCTGCTGTTGCCACAAAGGAAATTTTTGTTCCACTATTTTTAAATTCATGTCATAAAAACTAAAAAATTATGATTTATTTTTTCGTAAAATACTTCCAAGATACTTTCCATAACTTTGTTAGTACACGAAAATTGTAATTTAAATTCCCCGGTTGGAAGATATTTAAAAAAAAYATGTATTTTGCTAAGTTGGTAAGACTGTCCTTAATAAATGTGTCAAACATGAGCACCAGAGATAATTATCCCTGATGAGCACGATCTGTTAGTTTAAATAGTTAATATTTTTTATTTTCCGGGTAYTCAAAATACCTACCAAAAATACTAGTCGAAATGAGCACAACATTAATCTGGTTTGAATTAAGCTATTGAAAGTTTAGAATACATTTAAATTTTTGTTGTTTTTGGGTAAATYACAACAGCATATAATAATTGAAGGATTCTTTATTAACAGCTGGTTTTTATATGTTTAGGTAATTATTTAATTTTTTTGATACAACAAAAAGAAGTTAAKTTATGTTTTGTCGGTAATTAGATACTATAGCGGGTTTAACAATTCAGAATCGACCTCGACATACAACGTCCAGTGTGCAATATGTCTCCGCATGACCCTAACCACCTCTTTGCATGCCCAGAGTACTGCACTCCCTTCGATCCGACCCCGTCGAAACAGTAAGTTTGCTGGGACTATACTCAGATGATTTCGAAGACAACCAACCCGAACATTACCACGCAATCGGATATTTTTTTCTCGAAATGGAGCGAAACTCTACATTGCGTTTTTGGAGGCTTTACTAACGATTTGAAGCCAGACCCAGAGAAAACTTTATTTTGCATTAGAATTCGGAATTTCTAATTCCAACTTTTCTTTGTCAAATTTAACTCTTAAAAATTAAGTGTGAACTCTCCTCAAATTGGAAAAGAGGGTTTGTTCGGAAAGTGATAGGACTGAGTCGATTTAAAAAAATTTATTGAACCAATTGAATCGTTTCAATTCTTCAACAACTTTTAAAATAGGATCCTTCTGCGTCGATGCAGCGCGTCACGGAAGTTATTCACCGGAATAGCCTTGAAAGCCGAGGTACATGCTGCTTGGATCCCCTCTGTCACCTCAAAATGCTTGCCTTTCATCGGATTTTTCAGGCAAGGAAACAAAAAGACCCATGACTCATCACCTGTGAGTACATTATTCAAAAATTGAGGTTTCCTTTCATGCATGTTAAAATTTTATTGGGACACTTCTACTCGCCGCAATTTCTGCTCGTCCGTGAGCACTTTTGGGACCATCTAGCGCACACCTTGCGCATGTTCAAGGGCTCTGAGTCTGAGTTCATAACGTTGCGCAAACGAGTCACCTTGTCGGTGTTTGTCTCAGGTCTCCCAACACGGTCTTCATCAACGACCTCTACCCGGCCCTCCAGAAAGGCCTGGTTCCCCACTTCTAGCTAAAGCAACATCTGGGTAAGCGTGCTTGATCATATCAAACTAATCTGTCGCAGATTTACCGAGTTTCACACCGAATGTAAACGCGTACCGCTGCTCTAACGCACGCTGCATTTTCGKCTTGCACCACACACAGAAACACKTCACGGAAAAATGTTTGCAGRTGCTCAGAGACAACTGACCAGCCGCTCGTTCGTTAGCTACTAAATTGCCGAAAGTTCCATCCATCTGGCTACCAAACCAGTAAAGGATATGTGGAAGTCACTAAAACCGGTGTGCGCTCGTATGTTCCTAAAGGCTAATAGATTCGAAGGAAAACAAGCATACTTTTCACTCACACGATCTCAAAAGGACTTCAGGACAGTTATGRGCTTAAATTAAAGGTCACAACATACCACCACCACATGCGAGCCGGATGGGCATAAGTAACGACGATATTTGCAGTAAGTCCAGGGAAGTAGGTATGAGGGAGTCACTGGAATACTTTTTACGCTTYTGTGCATCATTATTTATAATCTGTCTTAGATATCTAGAAGCTTCACAATTCAAACATTTGAAAATTAAGTAGCATATTTACATATATATTATATATTTTTTAAATTTTAAATTCCATTATCAGACTTTGATTGAATGTCTGAAATATAGAAAGTCTGAGCGTTGATAATATAATCAACTAACGGGTGAACCAAGTAAAGGTACTTTTTCAATAGCCTTTTTTTGTCGCAGACCGCGTGAGTAGTCTCAAGCTGACATGTTATTCTTGTTTAGTATTGTTTGACATTTCATTGTGGAAGATTTACGCCTGAAAAACTTACTGAGCGTACTATTTGCAACACCATAATCTAGGGATCTAGAATTGATTATTGGATAATATTTGATCGAATAGTCCGACTCCAGCACACAGTGAAGAAAATATAGCAACAGTAGCTGAGAGTGTACACGAAGGCCGCGGAAAGTTGATACAGCGCCGACTTGGCGGATTTTACGTTGAGATCTCAAATTGAAAGCGTAAAAAATATTGATTGTGCAAGAACTGAAGAAGCTCGACTTTCCTAAGTGACATCGCTTTGCTCAATCTGCTCTTAAAAAGTGCCAAGATTATCCGACGTTTACGAGCCAAATTTTGTTCAGCGATGAGGCCCATTCCTGGCTCAATGGGTGTATAAATAAGCAAAATTGCCGCATTTGGGATGAAGATCAACCTGAAGAGATTCAAGATGTACCATTTATAACTGACTATTTGATATTTCAACAAGACGGCGCCACTTCCCACTCATCGCTTCAATCATTGTATTTATTGGGAGAACACTTCAGTGAGAAAATTTCAYGTATTGGACCGGTCGATTGGCTTTCAAGAATGTGTGATATCACACCGTTAAATTGTTTTCTGTGGGGATACGTGAAGTCTAAAGTCTATGCGGATWATTCCGCTTCGAGATAATCTTCAAAATAATAAATGACAAAGAATATTCTCTCGAATGGCAGTAAACATTAACCATTAAATTAGCCGGTTATGYGTTTTTTTCTTTGGGAACCTCAAAATGGATCACCCTTTCTATGTATTTAATTCTAATTGCATTCGCCTATTTATMATCATCATATCGTCATTCCAAGAATTCACTCATCTTTGCACCCACACAYACTCCAACTTGCTTCTTTCTTGTAATAAAAAATATATTGAATTTTTACCCATCAAATCGGAGATGATGCCATCGAGGTGACAACCCGCCATCCCTATATTATATAATATGTATACGAATAGCTTGCGATGCTTATGTAAGTCATCTGCGAGCATATCACACCACCTCCCACTACTCCACAAGCTAGTTACGTAACAAGCTGTAAGAAACCCAGCACCAACAATGAGTGATATATGTAGATCAATGACCCCCTGCACCCCAGATAGCCAATAGACAAACGAAGAAAATGTGAAATAGTCAAAAGGACACTAAAGCGCTTAGTCCCACGAGCTGCCAGCGTATTGCTCATACATCATTAAAATTAGATGAATCAATGACATTTAATCGTGACTGCCTTCGATTTACAATTAACACTCACCTCTGATGGCCGAATGCGACGGTGCGCTCGTATGTGCGTGTTTGTAGGTATGTATGTATGTATCCTGTGGGCAAAATTAGGTGAGTAGGTTTTTCGACTCTTCTTGCAACGGCTTAATGCGTTAATCGCTTGTACTTGCTATTGCTGTTGTTGTTGCGCTTCGCCTTGACTTAGCGTGCTTATGCTGAAAACGTAAACGTAATGATTCGATTTTTTCACTTAACAGAACTTTTTTGCTTATCTTTTTCTCTATTTTTTTAATTTTTTTTCTATTATTTTATTTATTTTTAAATATTTTTTTGTGTTTTATTTTTTTTATTTTTGTAAGTACCGCTTTGTTCTCGTTTATAGACCGCTTTTTAGGGGTTGCGCTTATCACTCACTCGCTCTGCGGCGTGCACTCGCTCTAAGCACGTTATACTCGTACTATGAGTAGTACGAATCGTAGAAACATACATATATATATATATATATATACATCTATGTATATGTATATGTATATATATTTGTAGGGCTGTATTGCTGATACAGAATTTTTCGTCGTTCTTTCGATTTTTCGACAGTCGAATATTTTTCGCTTCAGGATAATCAAAATTATGCGTTTATGTGTATGTATTGACACACACATACATACATATATTTCACTAAAATTTGCTGGCAATACACACTTGACTTACTTTCGTACTTATATATATTTTTCTATTGATTATTTAACGGTTTTCAAATAATTTTTGAATTTTTACTAAACTCTACAATATTTTTTTTTCTTTTTTTTTTTGAAATTTTTCTTTTTTTTTTTGAAATTTTTCTTCTATTTCTGAACCAAAACTTGAACCAAATTGTGTTTTAAAATATTTGAGATCTCAAATCGGTCCGCGTTCTTTCGAAAATGAACTGTCTACAACGGTGATGAAATTTTCACTGAGTGCAAAGGGTTTTACGATTAGTCGTCGGAGCCAAGTAAAAATTTGCTCGTATTTGTAGTAAAATAGCGTTACATGCAAAAGAGCTTGCAGCGTTTACGAAGAGAGTGCACTGCGCTCCGCGCTCTCACAAACGCCCGCTACCACCCACATTTTGACAGGTTAGTGTCTGTCGAAAAATCCGATTACTTGTGCCTTTCTAACGGTTAATTGGTGCGTGACTTGGTTATGCTATTTAGAAATGTGTTGATCAGGACGCTTGTTATGTTCAAAACATGCAATCACTTTTCTGTCCAACTCGTAAAAACTCGTAGTTCCTTCGAAACTTTATCTTCTTTTACCACAGCCACCAACCTCTGCTGCCAGTTGTCCGCCGCAGCTACTTCCAACACCTCTCTAAGGTACTAGGTATGTGTTCCAAATACTCCTTATCTGCGCACACCCTCAACGCATGTCCTTTCACCACCCACTTTACGCTCGTTTGCTCATATCGATTCAATGCTGTTTTCGCGCTCTCACCTTCTCTCCCCCAACTGTTTTCATATTCTATTGTTGTAAGTAATTTTCTCACTGCATGTCAAGTTATTTCAAAGTTCCTGAATTCCCCACAGCAGAGAGCACATATTACGCGTGTCAACATAAAGTAGTAGTGAGAGCTGTGTGAAGCTATGCGGCACTCGCTACAGCATGCTTAAGACACGAACCCCTTTCACGTGTTTGGTTTTTTGAGCGCTCTATCTATCTACGCAAAAGGGTGGTTGGGTGGTGGGATGGTTTTGGCGCATGTAGGTGGGGGTGCTGCTGATATATTTTTCCAAATTTACGCTGCTCAGTTATGCCCGGAAGCGTGTGTCACGTAAGCATCGAATGGAGTTCGAAGTTTTTGTTTTGTATGTGTGTGCGTGTATGTCGGTTAACCCTAGTGGTATGCTCTTTTGTTTAACGATTTTATCTGTTATTGGTGTTCGATCAAATTGGGGCGGAAAACGAATTCCTCTACTGTTTATACTCGCTTTCACATACACAAATATTATATTTCGAAAAATACCCTGTTGGAAAAAATAACTATGCGAAGAAACGGGGATGCAAAATTTTGAGAATATTAACATATTAAAACACATAAGGAACAGCTATGTCCGGGTGCAACCGAATATTGTATACTTTCGCCATTTACAAATAAAGAAACCTCACAAAAGTTAAAAAGAATTTCCGAAATAGGTAATTAGGTATCGGTAAATATTTGGGGTCTGAACATTACCATGGTTTTCGCTTTCCATGCTTTTGTCCCATAAAACAAGCGGAAAGTAAGTATTCAAATCGAACCATCCTTTGTGACACGAAGGTAATCATATTATATATAAATTTAGCGACAGATTTTAGTGGAGTTAATCTAGTTAATAGGGACTCTACAAATGTTTTGTAATGAGAGCTTTAGGGACAGGATGGTAAAAATAATATGAAAGCCAAGTAGCGGTACATTTAGAGTTCCTTTATTTCATTAAAGAATATATTATATTTATCTTAGGTCCGCTATCTACTAGAAATACATATTGTTATGTTCTTGAGGTTGTTAAAGAGACATAAAATTTTATCCTGGAGAAGGTAGGACAGTGCCTTAACGAAATCGAGATCAAAATGGAATGAGGTGCGTGGCCGCACCCACTTTCAGGTGAAAACGCATATCTCGAGATTCATTTGATTAATTGGATGACCAAATTCAGTGCATAACATTCTACGGATATTTCTGTTACAGGGTGAAAATGGACGAAATCGAACTTATTGCCATTTTAAATTTCATTTGAAACTTTCACGAATAAATAWGAATGATAAACTTTGCACGAATAGTGCATTTGACTTGAGCATCCTTTTGTCTAAAAATTGCATAAATCGAACCAAAACTGTTCAKGTTTTTAATTTACACTTCACGTGTTTTTCGAATAGGTACATTTTTATACCCTGAACAGGRACTCTTAAGTTTGTCACGAAATTTGTAACACCCAGAAGGAAGCGTCGTAGACCTTATAAAGTATATACATATATAAATGATCAGTATGTTGAGTTGAGTCGATTTAGCTGTATAAGTCTGCCTGTAAATATACGTTTTTATGATATTGTTGGGAAATTTAGCAAACGTCATTTTCTCTTCAAGAAGCAGCTCATTTGTCGGGTCTGGCGATAGGAGACCATTATAACACATAGCTGCCAAACAAACTGAACGATCGGAATTAAGTTCTTGTATGGAAAACTTTCACATTTGATATCTCTCTCTCTCTCTCTCTCTATCTCTGTGGTAAGCTCTCAACTTCTGTTTTAGACTACCAGACTKTAGTATTTTTCAAGCAGAAGTGGCAGGCAGCAAGGAAACAGCCGATGTACTSCTTGGAAGAGTAGCTTCTTATGTGCATCCACTTGGAAACAGACCTGCTATACAGGCCTTGAGCTCGCTGAGAGTGAACTCAAAGCTAGTAAAGAAGTGCATGACTTCAACATATGGGGTTACGAAAGTCGTCTGGCGAGTGGAGAGAGTGGAACGTTAAAGGTTCATTGAATTACTAGCCATTAGAAAGGATCACATCGCCGCAATGACGATGTTCTAACTTAAYACCTAGAAATTGCCTAGAATTGATAAAAGCCGCCTTGAAAAAAACCTGTGCCAAGCTCTAGTGCGACGGTCTTTTTGATCCTTACCCAAAAATGTGGATTGAGTTTCGAAAAGTAGTTAATGGTTGAGTTACACTTACAGTATCTAACAAGTAGATCGTATTATATATATATATATGTATACGTGTATATTTTATACAGCTTCTAACAATGGATGCAAAATATAAATATTTTCGGTTCCTAGGGATTCAACAGTTTTGGTTGGATTTGAGAAACTTCTGGAATTATTTGTTAAAAAATATATCCCGGTATATTAATTACTTCTTGATATG